CAGCTGGTAGCTTCGAACTGCTGACCTTGCAGTTCGCAGCCCGATTCGTAACCACTACGCTACCAGAGCTCCTTTTGTGTGTGTGTGTGTGTGTGTGTGTGTGTGTGTGTGTGTATATCTCCAAACTTATCTATGTATGCATATATAGAGAGCGAGCGAGAGAATGAATGAATGAATGAATGAATGAATGTGTGTGTGTGTCCCCTTATGGCGCTGTGGGTTAATGTGCTTGACTCCTAGGTCAGTTTGAATCAGAACTGCGAAGTACAACATATATATAGATACAGATATATAGATATATATGTTGTTAAGTGCCATAGAGTCAATTCCAACCCATAGTGACCCTGTATAGGTTTTTTTGAGGAGCACATTAACCCCCAGCACCACACTTGGACTTATATATATATATAGTATGTGTGTAAGGAGCTCTGGTAGCATATGTATGTATGGTAGTGTATGTACATGTATATATGTGTGTATATCTCTGTATATGTGTGTATATCTCTGTGTGTGTATGTAGATATATATGTGTATATATATATATAGTGTGTGTGTGTATGTATATATATAGTGTGTGTATGTGTATATGTAGATACATAAGGAGCTCTGGTAGTGTAGTGGTTACCAGTCAGGCTGCTAACCTCAAGGTCAGCAGTTCAAAACTACCAGCTGTTCCAAGGGAAAAAGATGAGGCATTCTGCTCCCATAAAGATTTACAGCCTCGGAAACCCTATACAGGATTGGTACGAGTCAGAGCCGACTTCACGGCACACCACCGTATGTGTGTGTGGGTGTGTGTGTGTGTATGTGGGTGGGTAGGTAGGTAGGTAGGCCTGGAAAACCGGACGTCCACTTGACGTTTTGCACTAGTTTTGCTTCTTTAGAAAACCCAGCATAAGACGTAGACCAAGAGGCAGTCATTTGAACAGAACAAGGGGATAGTGGATGGTTTAAAATCAGGGAAAGTGTGCGCTGAGGCTGTGTTCTTTCACCATACTTATTCCGTCTGTATACTGAGCAGATAATTAGAGAAGCTGGATTATGTAAAGATCATGGCATCAGGATTTGAGGAAGACTCATTAACAACCAGTGATATGCAGATGATTCAACCTTGCTTGCTGAAAGCGAAGAGGACTTAAAATACTTACTGATGAAGATCAAAGACCACAGCCTTCTGTATGGATTGCACTGCAATGTCAAGAAAACAAAAATCCTTACAACTCTACCAATGAACAGCATCATAAGAAATGGAGAAAAGATTGTAGATTCAAATAAAATCAAGTCTTTGGCAACAAAGACTTCATTTTGCTTGGATGCACAGTAACACTCATTTAAACAGCAGTCAAGAAGTCAAACGATGTGTGGCAATTGGCACATCTGCTGGGCAAGCCCTCTTTAAAGTGTGCAAGGCATAGCTTTGAGTTTGAACTACGGTGCGCATGACCCAAGCCATGTTATTTTCAGTCGCCTCATATGCATGCAAAAGTTGGACAATGAATAAGGAAGACTGTATAGAAGAATTGATGCATTTGAATTATGATGTGGGAGAAGACTGTTAAGAGTACTGTGGACTTCTAGAAGAATAAACAAATCTGTGTTAGAAGAAGTACGGCCAGAATGCTTCTTAGAAGCCAGGATTGCAAGACTTTGTCTCTCATACTTTGGACATCATATCAGGAGGGACCAGTCCCTGGAGAAGGATGTTATACTTGGTCAAGTGGAGAGTCAGCGAAAGAGAGGAAGTCCCGCCCCCAAGGAGCTGGATGGGCATCTTGGCAACAGTGGGTTCAGCTGTAGCAATAATTGTGAGGATGGCACAGGCGGGAGCAGTATTTCGTTCTGTTGTGCGTAGGGTCTCTGAGTCAGAACTGACTCCGTTGCATCTAACACCGCCACCACAGGTGCAGGTACACATATGGAGATAGGCATGGGAGCACCCATAAGAACATGTATAGGAATCAGTGTAGGTATAGATAGAGCTGTGGTGGTATAAGATAAGCACTGGACTGCTAATGACTAGGTCAGTGGTTCAAGCCCCCTAGCTATTCCTCAGAAACCGTATGCAGGGTCGCTATGAGCCATAACCAACTTGAAGCAACCTGAACCAACATAGGTACAGGTGTGGGAATAGGGTGGGCCTAGGGAGATGCAGGTTAGCCAGTAGTCGTGGTCCTCACCGGCTTGCACTAAGCTGTCTTCATTGTCTATCTATCTGGATTTGCTCATCTGCGGCCAGCAGTGTCACATGGCGTTCACCACATCTTTGTGGGGGACAGGTGAGATTGTGCACTGAGGGCATTGAAGAGAAAAAGTACCATTGGACCCTTGCCTACCTTGTTCAGTGGGACCTGGTACACATAAGTGTGGGTACAGGAATGGGCATAGGACAGATGTAGCTGTGGGAATGGAAGTGGGAGCAGGGATGGGAATCGGTGTAGGTACAAGGATGCAATCAGTTGTGGTAGTGTAGAGATCACACACCACACGCCCAAGCCGGTTCCACACCCGTGTCCCCAGGAGCAAGGCAGCCCAACAGCTGTGTGTTGCAAGTGTGGTCCCCAAACTGAGTGGGCTTCAGAGACTAGGAGCCAGGGCTTGGTGGTTGGGACGTCGTGGCAGCTCCAGTGACACAGAATCACTGGTTGCAGAACTAGGTATCACATGGCGGCTGGCAGAGGGCAGGCGAGCAGGCTGCAGCTCGTGAGGGGCCAGACATAAAGGGCTCCTGGCATTTGCAAGGTCTCCATGACAGTGGCTGAGAGCAGGCTAATTAGCAGAGACCCCTGCAGACGGCCTTTGTGGGCCATGGGCCTGCTGACCTGTGGGTCTAATTGGAACAGGGGCGGGCAGGTTCCTTTTCCTCATTAGCTCACTCCATCTTGTTAGGGCTGTGGCTGGACACCTGGGGAAATGTCAGTGGAGAGGGCTTTGCGCTCAGGAGATGCAGTCACTTGCTGCTTGTCTGTTCATGAGTGTGGGGGACGGAGCTAGGGAGCCCCCCCTTCCACCCCCCCTGCTCAGGGCTGCAGGACGGAGGAGGGGCTGGGGCTCACAGGATACACTAATACCCTGCGCCCATGCCCACAGCAGACCGACCCATCCCAAGATCTCCCTGTAGAGGCCACGCCAGGCCTCAGAGATGCCAAAAAGATGGGGAGTCGTCACCCAGCTTTTGTGGAGGGGCAGGTGGAGGCCCCCACATATGTCACACCGCTCGATTGAGTTGAGGGTGTGGACTTGAGAACCAGACTACCCAGGGACCCCTTCCAGCTGAGGGTCCCTTAGCCCCTTTGTGCCTTGCCTTACCCCCTCCAGCTCCAGTGATGGCTGAGGGAGTGAACCCATGAACGAGCCGCTGGTGGCTGGAGGCCTGAGTTGATCTTTGCTCACATTCCCAGGTCTCCTTGCCACCAGATCGAGCCCCACTCCCATCCCATGACCTCATAATGGGGCTGTGCACTTTTCCTGGTCGGCTCTTTGATTGGTTTGCTTATTTGGGAATTTCAGTTTTTTGGATTTGGGGTTTTGTTTTGGAAAGTTGCAAATTCACATTGAAACGTTTCCTGGGAAGTTAGGGGTGTCGGTGGGGGGGCATTGCTGCAACTCCCTTCTCCCCATGCGCGCACACATTAATGTTCTCTCTCACCCACCCCTGCTGTATGTTCGTAGGGCCAGAGGGGAGACTGACCAGATGCTGTCCCCACCTGTCCCTCTGTCCCCACCTGGATGATCATGGTGGTCTCCCCAGCACCTCATGCTCAGCTCACGGGCCCGGATAAAGGGTGCCATTGTGTGATCAGCACAGATGTCCCTGTTATAGTTCAGACACTGGGTGCCCTGCTCTCCCTGACGTACGCAGTCTCTCTGGAAGCAGCTTCCTCCCAAGAAGCAGAGGGTCTTGGGCCTGGCAGAGAGAGGGGTATGTGGGCTGGCTGCCAGGCCCAGGAGCTGGCTGTTGCAGGGCGCTCAGCAGATGTGTGCAGGGAGCTCAGCAGATGTGTGCAGGGAGAACAGCTGAGGTGGAGGCTTGGGGATGGCCTTCCCCTGAGGTCACTCAATCACATTCCTGCTTTCAAGACCTATGTGTTCCCAGCAGATACTAAATCCCCAGGTTTAGAAGAGGAGTGAAACCAGGGAGTGGATGAAGGGACAGGTGTGGCCGACAGAACCACCCTCTCCCTGGTCTCCAGCCTTCATGTGCTGACATCTTGTCTACTTCATCTGTGGCCTGTGGGGAGGCAAAAGCAAGAGCCCATCCTGTCGGACCACGGAGGGCCCGAGGCCACACAGCTGCATCCAATTAGAAGGGGATTGGGTGCTGGGTGCCGAGAATTAAGGCTCGTGGTAGCCGTGGGGTGTGTATTCACACCACCTGGCTTTGGTCTATGTTGGGGAAGTTACCCCACTCGGTTTACCTGGATCAGTACCTGCCTCTGTGTCCATAAAATGAGGGCATTTTGGTGGGTTTGGGAATGATCTGTAAATAGTGTGGGTCTGTTTGGGAGTGAGCTGAGCAAGTTGGAGATCAGATCTGAACTGTATTTCCTGGTCTGCTTGACAATTAGCTGGGCTGAAAAAACATGTCTTGCCTTTAAGTGGATCCTGACTCCCAGCAATCCTGGGGTGCAGAACAGAACTGCCCCATAGCGTTTTCAAGGCTGCCATTGTTATTATAGGAGGAGATTGTCACACCTTCCTCTCCCATAGAGCTGTGGGTGGGTTGGAACCATCTACCCACTGGTTAGCAAGTGAGCACTTAACCACTGTACCACCAGGGTTTCTGGGGAGTTCTGGAGGGAAGGGTTATCTGTTGGCGTGGGAACTGGCTGGGTGGGAGTGGGGTTATCTGTTGGCGTGGGAACTGGCTGGGTGTTAGTGGCAGTCTCTGTTGGTGTGGAAATTGCCTGGATTTGGAGGGAGTGTGTGTCTTGGCCCGCACTGCCCAATCTTCTGAGACACCAGCTGCTTCCTTCCTTCTTCCTTCCTCCTTCCTCCCTCAGATGACGGGAAGTTGTCCTTGGAAGAATTCCAGCTCTTCTTTGCAGATGGCGTCCTCAGTGTGAAGGAGCTTGAAGATCTTTTCCATACCATCGACTCTGACAACACCAAGTGAGCCTTGGCCCAGTGCCAGAGCTGGGCGTGAGCGGGTCTGTGTGTGTGTGTTGGGGGTGGGGTGGGGTTCCTTCTACACAGCATCCAAATCCTCACATGTCACACTTGTAAGGCTGGAGATGGGGAGTGTCCCCAGACTTGCTAATCTAAGAGAGAGATCTGTTTGCGCCTCACTACCTGGCACCATTTGGGGCACTGGGCAGGCTGGTCTTGCACACTGGCTTTTCTGAGCACCCATAACTGAGCAAGGAGACACCCTAGGCTTTGCACAGAATGTGGAGGATAATGAAAGCGGGAAATTAGCAACGATCCCGTTCTTCTGCTAGGCCAGCCTAGTTCCAACCCTAACTCCAATCCTACTATTTAACTTTCATTGTGTTAGTATGATGCTCGTCCCCATCCCAGTGTTAGCTGTGATGACGATCCATATCTTTTGCACTAACCCCAAACCAGTACCGAATACAACCCTAACTCGGACATCACCCACTGTCTAATCCTTGGTGGTGGTGGTATTTGCCATTGATGACAACTCATGGCAACCCCATGTGTTCAGAGTAGAGCTACCCCTTACAGTTTCAAGGCTGAGGTCTTTCATAAGCAGACCACCTGGGTTTAATGCCAAAGCTTCTCTAAGTAGGTTCCAGCTGCCAACTTTCTGTTTAATCTGGTGCTTAAACATGTGTACTAACCAGAGATTCCCTTTCTCATCCTTGTTAAGTGCCATCAAGTCAGTTCTGACTCATAGTGACCTGTATAGGGTTTCTGAGGCGTGGCTGATGGGGTTTGAACCTCTGACCTTGCAGTCTAGTGCTTATCGTATAGTGCCATGCCAGTACTTTTTAAATCCTACATTTAATTAAATCTTTTTCCCGAGCCAATAATAACCGTAACCTGCACCTTGGAATCAAACAAAGCTCTAGCTCCAAACCATCTTCAAATCAAGTTCAAAGTGCAGCTTCTACTCAGACCTCTGATTCCTTCAACCTTGGCTCCATCCGCAGCCCCTTTCTCACGGTCGCCCAACAGAATGAGGCCGGTTTGGAGTGCCTTCATGGGGGGTGGGGGGACCAGGGGTGAGGGACCAGAGCCTGCGTCCATTTCGTTCCTTCCTCGGGCTCTCTCTGATGTGGAAAGCCAGGTTTCCTGAGGGCCTGCGGGGGTAGGTTTGATGCCTTGGGGTCCCCTGAGACTGATTAGAGACAATCTGGACAAAGAGCTACCACTGGGTGAGTTTGCCAGGGACCCAGTCAAATGTTAGCTGAGCTGGGGGTCAGCCTGAGTGTCCCAGGCGTCTATGATGAAATGACTGCAGGCAGCCGTGCCAGATGGAGGGTTCAGGAGGCCTCCTCCAGCCCCCTGGAGAGCTTTGAAGGGGCTCAGGTTGAGCCCGCTGCTTTATTCTTTCAGTGCCTTTGTGTTGGGCCACCTGAGGGGAGAGGTGCTGGTGTGACCATGTGACTGTGATTGGGAACACAGCATTCTAGAAGGTCAGAACTCTGAAAGGCCTTTAGGATGATTCTCCCCCACGTCCCCCACTGCCCCGTGGATGCCCTAAGCCTCAGCTCCCGGAGATGGTAAACAGGCTTTCTGCCCAAAACGGTTGCCATGGATCAAAATGAATTGTGTAACTAACATAGCCCTGCCGCACTATGGGTAAGCGCTCAGCTGCCAACCAAAACGTTGGCGGTTCAAACCTACTCCAAAGGTCTGCAGGAGAAAGGCTGGGATCTGCTCCCGGAAAGATTGCTGTTGGTAGGTGCCACTGAACTGGTTCTGACACACGGTGACCTGATGTCCCATGCTGCCTGCCCTGCTCTGTCCTCATGCCATTGCTGGGTTGTTCTTAAGTTGTTTGTTGTAGCCACAGTGTCACTGCATCTTGATGAGGGTCTTCCTCTGTTCCGTTGACCCTCAGCTTTTCTAAGCACAGGGTTCTTCTGTGAAGACTGCTGTTGTTGTTATGTGCCGTCGAGTCATCCTGTTCAGGGTTTTCAAGGCTGTAACTCTTTTTGGGAGCAGAAAGTCTCATCTTTTCCCCTTGGAGTGGCTGGTGGGCTCAAACCGCTAACCTTGTGGTTTGCAGTGTAGTGCTGCTGTGTTTCCTTCTGTGAAGATTGGTGTTATGTGCCATTGAGCAGCTTCCGACTCATAGCGACCCTGTATAGGGTTTCCGAGGAGTGGCTGGTGAGTTTGAACCACTGACCTTGTAGTCCAGCGCTTAGCCTATCTTTGTTGTTGTTAAGTGCCTTCAGGTCTGTTCCGACCCATAGCCACCCTGTATAGGGTTTCTGAGGAGCTGCTGGTGAGTCTGAACTGCTGACCTTGTGGTTCGGGGCATTCACTTTACAGCCTAGCAGACTCTATGACGCAGTTCTCCTGTGTCACATGAACTCATTACGAGTTGGATTCAACTAAACAACAACAACAACAGTGTAAACAAACGAAGCAGCTCTCCTTCCTGCAGCACTTGTCCAAGTAGGCAGACCCGCAGCCCACATTTCATGAGTGCGGAAGGAGCCGTGGTCCCACTGAACATAGGATTCTAGGCCCACCCCCTCGATACCCAAAGAGGAGGACTGTGGTCACAGAGAACCCAAACCAGATGTCTGTCCCAACTCAGGGCAGCCCCATATGTGTCTGAGTAAAACTGTGCTCTGCAGGATTTTCAGTGGCTGGTTTATAAAAAGTGGATCGCCAGGACTTTCCTCTGAGGTACTGCGGAGTAGACTTGAACTTTGGTAGGCAGTCAAGGCAGTGTGTTAACCATGTGTGCCTACAGGGCTTCCTGTGGCCCCGGAGGGGTTGCTGATCAGAGGTGGATACACACTTGGGCATGTTCAGAACCCCCTTCATCAGCGAGGGGCCTGCCACTTCTCTCCACCAAGAGAGACCCTCGTCCAAGAGGTGGGAATGGGAACGTGGCGCCCAGGGACTAGGGCCAGGACGAACAGTATTGTCCCCGCGAGCGAGAAGGCACGTTGAGTGATGGTCAGGCCCCCACCATCCGTCTGCTTTGTCCCCTTGGTTCCCCTCTGCCCGTGAAGGGGTGGGCAGTACACTTAGGGGTGGGGTGGTATGATGAGTGGACTCAGGTGGACATGCCTCCAGCCCTCCCCAATGTGGGGTGGAGAGACTGTCATCCAGCCAGAGGAGGTCTCTGGTGAAACAGAGGACGCATGACAAGCCATTCCAAACTTGATGGGGGTGCGCACAGCAGCTGGGCTGTGACAGACCCCCAACTGCCTCTCTCTGTCCCTGCAGCCACGTGGACACCAAGGAGCTATGTGGTAGGTACTGGCCTGTGAGGTTCTGGGACGGGGTGGGGGAAAGGCAGCGAGGAGGCGTGAGTGGGACTTGGGGGGCACAATTCCTCTGTGACCCGACCTTTGCTTGCCCTCGGCCCAGATTACTTTGTGGAGCACATGGGAGACTATGAGGACGTCTTGGCCTCTCTGGAGACCCTGAACCACTCTGTCCTGAAAGCCATGGGCTATACCAAGAAGGTGAGTAGGGGTGGCCCTCAGGGCCATCCTGGGTTGGGGTGACCAGTGTCAGGTAGGTAGGTGGTCCTGGCTCACGAGGAATTCCCCTGAGGTTCTGAGAGGTAAGGCAGCTGGAGGTGGAGGGGGCAGTGTGGTAAACAGCCCTGGCTAACCTTGGCTGGTAACGTTGCCAACTTTACCGTTGGGATCTGGTTTCTTGTTGTTACTAAGTGTCATCGAGTTGGTTCTGACTCATGTTGCTGTTAAGTGCTGTCAAGTGGGTTCCAACTCACAGCGGCCCTGGATAAGGTTTCCGAGGCATGACTGGTGGGTTTGAACTGCTGAACTTGCGATTAAGAGTCCAGTGCTGATCCTACAGAGCTACACCAGGACCCCAAAGTGTGCAGTGGCATGGTGAAAAGGTTTGAAATATTGTGAAAATAAGCAACATGTGACCCAGAGACATGAAGTAATTAAGCACATGGTGTTGGAAGAATGGTTCCAATATACGTGCTCGACGCAGGGCTGCCACAAACCGCCAATTAGTGAAAAACACGTTATCTGTGAAGTGAAATGAAGCAAAGTTCAATAAGATAGATATGCCTGTTTTATTTTTATTTTATTTCTAATTTAATCATGACCGCAGCAACCCTGTGGGTGAGACACTGTTACCTGCCCCACATTAGGGAAACAGAGGTTCAAAAGGGTGAGACTGGCAGAGTCATAGCCAGACCACCTTATCACAGCTGAGATGAGCGTAAATGAGTCAGGGACCAGGCAGCAAGTATGGAGGGCAACATGGGGCTTCAGGTCCAGGGATCATCCCCACCGAGAGAGAGCTGGGAGTGGCCACATGAATGCCCACAAGCTTTGAGCTCACTGACCAACCCTGAGCCATGGGAGCTCAGAGAAGACTAGACCGCATGCTGGTCAAGGTCAGGGAGCTTAGCTGATAACGTCAGCCAGGCCAGGAGAAATGACTTGCCTCTCTGAGCCTCAGTGTGCCCATCTGTGAAATGGATCCTTGGGAAGACCAAATGACACCAGGCCTGTAAGCTGCTTAGAGCAGGGCCTGCCCAGCATGACGCTGTGGTGAGGGACTGGTTTGATGAATGTTGTTTGCTGCTGCCAAGTCGGCTGTGACTCAACAGAAGGAAGTGATGCCAGGCTCTGCACCTTCCTCACAGCCATCCTGTCCAGTGTGCCCATCACTCCCGTCCACCTCATAGTGGTCTCCCTTGTTCACGCTGCCCCTCTGTGTCACCTGCCATGATGTGCTTCTCCAGAAACCGACCTTTCCTGCTGGTGTTTCCTTAGTAAATGTGACTGCTGAGGAGCGTGGGTGCCCACCCGTAGGCCACATCACCTCTGAGGTTTTTCAGATGCCACTCAGTCACTGCTCTGCTGTGTCCTAAAGAATCCCTTTCTTCCCTGATATCCAAAACTAGCTCGGGTCTGTTCCTGAATCTCTACCCTACACCTCCGTTTCTGTGCTAGGGCCACACTGTTTTAAGTCTCATAGTCTTGAAGTATATTTTAATGGTGCATAAGATGGATTCCCTGTAACTGTTGATCTTTTTAGAATATTCTGGAAGTATCAAAGCGAGTAGTGAAGTAGAAGGGGGACATGGAAAGACTCAAGGCTTCTGAGTTACTCAGACAAGGATCTGGGCCTCCTAGTGCAGCGAGTTAGCATTGAGCTGCTAAGCAGAAGGTTGGTGGTTCTAATCCACCAGCCACTCTCCAGGAACAAAATGTGGCAGTCTGCTTCTACAAAGACTAAACAGCCTTGGAGACCTCAGCGGGCTGTTTGGCTGTGTCCTACAGGATTGATGCGAATCAGAATCAATTTGATAGCAGTGGGTTTGTATGACCGCATGAGTCTTCACAGTGGTGGGCTCGTATGCCCACGCGAGACTGGGTAACTGAAATGAGCTGATGAAACCCGTTTCCTCATCTTGGAATGGGGCCACCTCCCAGCAATGCTGTCCGAAGGTGTTGGAAGCCTGCTCACTGCTTCGTGGTCTTTAATCGTAACCCTCAGCAACATGCCCGGATCCTCCACCAGTGAGCGCACACTTAGCATTTACCAACACAGCACAGAGCTGCTTCAGAGCTTTCGCGCTTATAAACCACGCACCTACCGAGTGTGGTGTGGTTGGCGGATGTTCAGCTGTTGTACTGCTGGCTTCCTTTTCTCATCCTTTTGTGTTTTCTAGCTGGGTTTTGTTTGCGGAAATTCATCTCACGGGTTGCTTTTTATTTTTAAAGCTTTTATTATGTACTGAGTAGGGAAGGCTTACAGGAGGCTCACCAGTTTTACATTCAGCAACTGATTGTAATGATTACATTCCTCTCCATGCATCCTTAGCTAATGGTATCTACTTCTCTTACCTTTTCTTTTTTTTGATGATGCATGTTGTTGTTGTTTTTATGTGCCTTGGAGTCGGTTTCAACTCACAGCTACGCTGTACAAGGTTTCTAAGGCTATAAATCTTTATGGGAGCAAGAAAGCCTCATCTTTCTCCCACAGAACAGCTGGTAGTTTCGAATTACTGACCGTGAGATTAGCAGCCCAATTCATAACCACTACAGAGCTCCTTTGATTACGCATACCCCATTGTAAATATGTATCGGTTTAAAGCCAGCCTCCTGCCCGTGGGCACACTGCCTTTCTCAGTCCCTGAGCCTCTAGCCCTCAGCTGCTCTGTCTCTCTGTGCCATCACCTCCGCCACCATCTCTGTTGTCACCACTTTTCTGGTTAGGATCCCTTCCATGCGTCTCTAATGTTCTTTGACCGGTTGCTTTGAAGACACCTTTCTTGTATCCATCATTGAAGCTGATTGCTCTCCTTTGGTTGGGATGTAGCCGTATCCTTACCACTTGAGGTTGTTGTCTGTCCCTGTCTTAATATGTGTTTTTTATGATTCTCAGTGTCCTGTTGCGTTCTCCCCACGTTCAAAAACACTATCACAGTGGTGCGACGTTGGGCTGCCCATCTGGCTTCTGATGGTTTCCAAGTGCATAGCTCTGCTATTTCTCCAGTAACAACGTTAATACCAGCTCTGGGTTTAGAATCTTCTTCAGCATGTGAAGGAAATTTTTGTTTTTTCCATTCCCTTTGTTAAATTTTGTCTTAGGAGGTGGCAGTTAATTTCCTCCAAGGCTTTTTTTGGGTATTCTTAAGCGATCATATGATTTTTCTATGCTTGGGGTGGATTCTATTGTTAGCGTGTTCGCTGTAGCTTTCTGTGATGAAGCTGTAATTGGTGCATTATTCTTTTATCCCATTGCTGAATCCCAGTCCGAAGATGAATGTCGCGTCTCCGTCTCCACTGGGAATTGAGCAAGGATGGTAGTTTGAGGATGAATTGTGAGGTCTTAGAACAGTTTCTGTGTGTGAGTCAGTGTCTTTAACAAGGAGCATTATTTCTGTGCCAGGAATCGATTCATAACACTTGGATATGTGGCTGTGGGTTAGAATATGAACTAGACAGGGAAGGGGAGTGTTTTCATAATTATTTTATGGTCAGCCCTAGTTTTAATCAAGTGTCTGATGTTGTGTGGCCATTTGAGTGTATTTCTAAGAAGCACTTTGTCGTTGTCGTTACGTGCCGTTGAACTGGTTCTGCCTCAGTGACCCTATGGGTAACAGGACAAGAACAACCCAATCCTGTGCCAGCCTCCAGTGTTGTGACACTCAAACCCAGTGCTGAAGCCAGTGTGCAAATCCATCTCGTTGGCGGTCTTCCTCTTCTTCGCTGACCCTCCGCTTTACCAAGCATGATGTCCTTCTCCAGGGACTGGTGTTTCTTGTTGAGATGTCCAAAGTATGAGAGACCAAGCCTGGCCATGCTGGCTTCTAAGGAGCATCTGGCTGTACTCCTTCCAACACAGATTTGTCTGTTCTTCTGGAGGTCCACGGTACTTTCAATATTCTCCTCAACCGCCACAACTCAAAGACATCAATTCTTTTAGGGTTGATTTTATGGAGATGTTTAGTTTTATGATTTCATAGTTAGTTATGCATAATAAATTCTTAGAGGTTCTCTGTTTTTTTTCCATCTCTTAAACATTGGTTGGCACAAAATAGGTACTTGATACAGATTAAGTTCAATGAAAATCTCTACTGCTCTAGCTTGGGTCTTCTGGGAGGGGGGTGTTTTATTTTAAATTTTGTCTTGATTCCCATGTAGTTGTGAGATGCCATCAAATAGGTTAGATTCACAGCAGTTTCTTGTAAAACACTGCCGGTTCCGGAACCATCCTCACAGTCGTTGTTACCTTCCAGCCCATACCTGCTGCCACTGGGCTGCTCCATCGCATTGGGGGTCTTCCTCTTTTTCGCTGACCCTCTAAGTATGATGTCCTTCTCCAGGGACTGATCACGAAGAGGCCACGTCTTGCTGTTCTCTCTTCTAAGGAGCATTTGGACTTTGCTTCTTCCAAGGTGGATTTGTTCTTTCTTCTGATAGGCCTTGGATGTTCAGTATTCTTGGCCAACACCATTGTTTAAAGACATCAGTTCTTCTTTGGTCTTGCTGTTCATTGTCCCAAAGAGTCTTGGTGGTGCTGTGGGGTAAGCATTGGGTTGCTAAGCACAATGTAAGAAGTGTAAACCCAACAACTGCTCCATAGGAGAATGGGGAGGACTTCTGCTCCTCTAAAGACGGACCCTCTGGAGCTGGTCTAGTCTGTCCTGCAGGGTCACTTTCAATCAGACTCACCTCTGTGACCATGGTACTGACTCAGTGACCTTAAACACAGCAGAATGAAACACTGCCCGATCCTGGGCCAACCTCACTATTGTTGCCACGCAGTTAGAGTTAGGGTTCGGGTTAGGGTATTCTCGGTCCAGCTCTCACATGTGCGTAGAAGATAACTGAAATCACTTTGGCTCAGTCAGGTGCACCTTACTCTCAAGGTGCCCTCTTTGTTTTTCAGCTCTTTTAAGAAGGGCTTTGGAGCCTTGGTGTGGCGCTGTGGGTTAATGCGCCAGACTGCAAAACCGTTTGAACTG